GTCAGGCGGGTCTAACTTCTTCCCTTTCAACGTACAGAACTATGAAACAATTAAGAAGTCTGAAGTATCTATCTTACCCAGGAGACCCAGATGTGCTTTGCTCCTCTGTTTGCATAACAGGCAGCAAATTGACTAAAGCATACCATTTTGAAAGATATTAAATGCCATCGAAAGAGGACCACCGTTTGCAGGCATGGTTCAGTGACACTAACTTAAACTGGGTTTTGCCCTGCGTATCTGCATTTACAGAAAACTTTCACGAGGGAAATATACAGAGTGAAGAGAGAGGTTTCTACATCTCACGAATGGTAGGGAAATTTTATGGTGTCTAATGGCAAATGAAATGGGGGCTTTTTATGCGCGCGCGCGTTCATATGACCCCGATAATTTACCTGAAAGATGGGTTATGGTGTTTATCGTTTTCTTCGCGAATTGCATGAAGCATAGACTGGGAAAATATTGAGAAATTTTTACGTGGAATTGTGACAGGCGAAACCGCATTAGAGGAGAGCGAAAAAGGCTATTTGTAGAGGGTCTCCTTATGCTCTGAAGTCTTTCTCGGAGTCATGGAGAAAGTTTTTAAGAAAGGATGATGAAAGGAAAAAGTAAATCATGTGCATTCTCACCTACATGTGCAGTCTTCACCTGAAACCAAGCAGACAATTATGCAACTAATATTAACGAATAGATTATTCAAAAAACTGCTAGACATTGAAGCAAATAAGAGAGAACGTTTTGAACTGGAGAATGTGGGAGGAAGTATAATAAGGACAGAACTTAATGTTGAGACCCTGGGATGGTAAATAAATATTAGTAAATCGTAACAAAAGATTGAATCCAGCTTCCAGACTCCTTAGGTTACAGCTTCGAACGGGGATCCATCCTCTATGCGTATGTATAATCAGAAAAATAGTTACCACTAGGCTATTAGCGAATAAACTCGTTCGGGTGAATATTCTTGCAGAATTGTACTGCATTATTCCGTTAGCGTCGGCTTCAATTAAGGATCATAGGCACAGGGCCACTCGGTTTCCTTGAGTATGAGTTCATGTGTTCTTCGTCAGGGTTTTCTAGCATTACACATCATTTTCGAGTTACCTATGGTAATCGGATGCCCTTATATTAACTTCTGAAATCAGATATATTGAAAATAATTTTGGAATGACATTGATCTTAGTTTAAGTTGCGTAGTTTTTACACATATTCAGAGAGTTCAAACGCAGGACCTCTCACATAACAGACGTCAACAGATACAAGCAACGAAGTACTTTTACTTCTCCGCGATGACGGATCGATAGAAACTTATATACGTCTTGTCCACCTACAGAAAGAATGATCAAATAGAGGTAGATTAACTTCGTTATGGCTTTTATTGAGCCACTGAAAACTGCGCTGTAGTCAAAGTTTGATTTGGACGCGAGGACCGGTATCGAGCGTGTCCCATATCATGTCGAAAAGAGCCTGGAAGCTGCGTAAGTAATATGCATGCATTCTTCACTACTGCTCCATTTTTAAATTCAGAACTTTCTAATCTTTTACCAATGTAATGCAATCTCACCCTAACATTGGTTCTTTAGCCATATTCCTACAACGAATTGTTGACTTAGGAAATTGCTCCCCTCGATTGTCTGTCTTGCAGTACTAACGAAGCCATCCTAGAGCAGTTACAGTTTTGATTACAAAGCTTTAGAATCAATTAAAAAGCAAAAGTACTATTTACGGTGGTTACAGTTTCAACCGTCACCTGATAAGCTCATCCGCTTTTATAATGAACGTGCATATCAGCTAAGTGGAGCTCACACGGGTACACTACAAGAATTCTTGCAACCAGCTATAGGAAATCTCAAAAAGACTCCTTGAAAGCAAAGTCCACCCAGAACTACACCGACTATGCAAAGGGAAACTGGAACGGCCATTCCTGGCTTATTAGCCGTTATCAATCGGCATTCTCACTCTGCATATAATATTAGTAACTATGCGGGGGCTCTACATCTACAACCCCAAAACACAACAGACGAGTAAGCGCTTTAGCCAAGTAATGAGCGTCCATCTAACATTACCAAATTTCAGTCACTTTAGTTTCGACTTTCAATAACCTTGCCTGACAACGGATAT